CCCCCCCCCCCCCCCCCCCCCAAAAAAATATAATAGGATTAGTGAGCAAAAACTTATTGACAGTAATGGACATACTCTAAGCCGAGGAGTCATAATGACTTGAACCTGGGTCATAGTCATTGCATTTCACTTGAGCTTTTACCTAACCATTTTGTAACCCAACAAAACACAAATCCAAGTCCTTTAGGAAGCCAAATTTGCACTAAAGATTTGCTTCACCAAGTAAAACCCAATTTGGCTAAGGCATCTTTGGGCGAGACAACCCGATGCCAATGTCGAGTCAAAAGCTAAGGTGGTAACACTATTTGACACCAAATACACAGAAGGTTTCGAACCCATTTGCATGGACTGATGTCAACCTTTTCAGTTTCATGCAAACACCCTTGAATAATCTCGTGTGTTTGAGTTTGTGTTAATTTCCAGTGATAAAATAAAGCTAGAACGCCCATGCTTCGGATGCTTTCAATTTTGAATTCCAGCACTATTCGATGGACGTCCAAAGCACATTTAAACGTTGGCAAGGTATTTTGAATCATATTCGAAAGAACTATGCAGAATCCATCCAACTCGTTTAACAAATTAGGGCCGTATTGAAAGCTATATAGCCATTTATCCAACCTGTGTGAAGAGGCCTGGAAGCTGAGCGCGCATTATACAACATAAAAGTTCCAAAGAAAGACCTAAGCAACCACAACTTAGTTTTTCGAGTCTCTCAAGTAAAAACTCCGAGAAAAACCTTGTGTTCTTAATAGAACCATCCAACTCCGACCAGAACCACATAGTAGATACAGTTATATATTCCTTGGCCCTTCCCAAAGCATGTATTGAAGGGTTCCAAGGGTTTTGTTTCCTGAGTGAATCGGGGAGGAGAGTTTGATTGGAGAGTGTTTACTGAGTGAATCTTGCGTGTAAGTGTTTGACTGGACAGAGAGTGAAACGGTTCGTGGTCACCCTTCCCCAATCAAAAAGAGGCCTTTCTGTAGCAACACGAATAGCACAGAGATCAAGGGAATTGATCAGAAAGGTACAAGGGAATAAGTCATCTCTATTGGACAATGGAGTGAAGTGGATTTTAATAAAAAACGTAATGTATCTATTGCAATGCACTCATGTTGACTATTTGTCTAAACAATTCCATGGAATGGAGTATATCTTAATATAAAACATAGTGTATCTAAACAATTCCATGAACATATGCATAGTGTATAATGTAGTCACAACAATCAGTTAAGAGTTACAAATTGTAGTGCAGAGAGAGAGACCTTAAAATTAATGTGCACTTCTCTAGAATTATATCATGATGTCTTTGATTCCATCATAAAATAGCACACCTACCACTTTCGGCTCGCTTTCGAACCTCCTCAGTCTCTCTCTGAGCTCTCTCTAGGTTCTCTCTCAGCTTACGAATTTCATCATTTGACTTCCTTTGAGCTTCTTGAGCAAACTCTTCAGCCTTCAATCGAGCAGCTTGCTCTTCTGCCAGTTGCTGTTCAAGCCTGTATGTGGTCTCTCTCAACTTCGACTCGACCTGTGAAACAATATTAAACCATCAGGGCAAGAAATCATTGATTATCAAGCTTCCAACTTTTAGCATCAATGCACAGATTCTCACAAGAGGGGTTAATGTACTCAACATCTTAAGCACCAACTCCTAATTATTCTCTCTACACTTAAAACGCTACAGGTGGCAGAATCCCTATTATAAAAAACTGCCTACAAAATTTTCAGGACTCACCACAAGTCAGGAAAAATTCTTTGGCAACAACAGAATCTGAACCTGATCTGTGAGAAATATATGTGCCAGACACCAACACATCAGTGTCGTCTTTAGTTTTTCTGGTCGATACTGAGAACATATTTGTGGGTAAGGCTTCAACCTTGGGATTTATTTAGGACGGGGACCACAAATCGTTAGGCTATAAAGGCCATGGTACATCAGCGTTCTTGTTTCCTTAAATTCCACCACATGATGGTAAAAGTATGGCCACCTGGGGAACAACCAAAATCAATATTATATAATGTCTCAGCATACGAGGTCAACCTTAAGAGCTGCCCATATAAGTCAAGAATCCAAAAGGATGCAGACAAATCATGGCCAAGCAGGTCTAAAACCCCTTTTATGAAAGCTTTCTGGCAGATTACTGTCAAACACATTACAGTATGCCTACAGAATCAGTTTCCCCATTATGCTGTTAAATTAAACGCCATCAGCTATTCATTCTTTACATTTGAGTTTGGGAGGCCAAATTCTTAATTTTCCTGTGTCCAAATGTTGAACCAGTCATTTCCATGCTTCAGAATCATACTTGAAATGACTCAATTGTGCACATGAAATCTGCACCTATAGCAGTGTCAATCACATGTAGTCCCATAGGCTTACAACCAACTCATGCACACAGCATTAATGATTTACGTTTCCATTTTTTAGTTTTCTACCATTAGACATAATGAAGTGTATATACAACGTACCATTTTTGACAAGACCAACTAGAAATATTTATCATTAGCCTCAAGTATAAAACCTGTGAGCTGTGCATGAAGCTATTTCGTAAACACTGAAACCACAAACTCTCAGACAACAGGTTCCACAGATAGTCTATTTGATAGAAGGGAAGGATGAAGAAATAGAGAGGGGAAGATAGACATCCGTTATATGTTAGGAGTCGGCAGGTAAGCAGAGGAAAGCGAGGAGATAGTAATCTACCCCGTGGACCTAAGGTTATCTTTCCACGCCATCTGCAAAAGGAAAGGGAGTGACAAAACCATTTGTTCATCGTTACAACAACATACTTCCTTTCATATACAAAAACATATGATGGCAAAATCACAAAACCTGTTCTTTTTTATCTCTTTCTTTTCTACTAAATTAAATTTGAGTAGGAGTATTGATTGAGCCAAGCCTTTCGAGCTTGGGTATGCTCAAGATCGGCTCAAGTTATTGAAGGGATGCTCAAGCTCAGCACTAGCCAAGTTCGAGCCGAGCTCGAGCCAAAACCAAGCTCTTAGTATAAATCCAAAATCCACAACCCCCAAATCTGATATCTCAATCTCGAATCAAAAATTTCACATAAAATCATATATTCCAGTTAGGCATGTCAATCGTTTCAGATGAAACGGGTTCGTGTAGGATCTTGACAGGATCGTATCAAAAAGCACTCCACTCATACCCGATTCGTTTATTAATGTGTCTAACGAGTTGTGTCATATCAGGTTCGTGTCGTGTATTTCTTTTGATTGGCTTCATCCATACCCGATTTGTTTATTAATTGTGTCATGTTGGGTCCACTCATTTACGAAAAAAGTAGCTTAAAGAAGATTCAAATCCTTTAATTTCATGTCACATTTGTGTCGCGTTATCGAGTCGTATCATATGTTGATACACCTAATTCCAATCCAAATAGAAACCCCTAACATAACAAAACTCTAAATCTCGACATAACGAACAAATTTAGTATACCACATAAATTAAACATTTGTTTGGGATTCCAGCTCTTAGGGTTAGGTGGGTGTTGAGTCGAAATAGGGCCCAAGTGATTGGATTGGGGAATGGTGGCGGTTGTGGGAAAAATCTCAAATGCGACAACAAGAGAGAGCCAGAAGAAGAGTGTCTCACAATACAAAACAACGAGAGAAGAAAGGAAGAAAAGAGAGGAGAGTGGTTGAGGGGGCAGAGTCGGCCCAACAAGCAAGAAAAGCCTATGTTTTGGAGCCTCAAAAAAGAGGGGCCACAAATTATATAATGATCCTTATAGTATTTACCAAATTAGGCCCAATAACATTTGTAACAAAAAGGCCCAAATAAAGACAAATCTTTGACGGACCTAAATCATCACTTTTTATTCTTTTCCATTTGCCCACGTCACATCAATCACATAAAAAATTAGTTTTCTCTTCATTACTGTCAACTAACTCTAGAAATGTCAAAGAACATAAAATATTCATACCTACACATCTAATTCTTAAATAAACCCTAAGACCTCTCTCTCTCTCTCTCTCTCTCTCCCTCAAAAATTTGAGCCCGGATTTTAAGTTTCTACATATAAAAAAGAGGACACCTACAAGTTACTAACTAAAATAAACCCCACAATCTGGCCTGCCATCTCCACTCTCCCCCATAATTCGTCGCATTTGATTATGGTACCAAATAGTAATTTTTAGTATTAAATCTTTTTTAACTAACAAAATTGTTGAGTGTGTAAAATTTTTATTTTATTACCATAGATTAATTTGTTAGTTTTACAATCAATGGTTAAAACTAATCAAGTCAAAATGTATGCACCACATCAACTTTCCAATGATGTCGAAATTTTTTGGGTACCGTAAACTTATCTTAATTAATGCTTAATTTTGGAGTACCATATAGTGACAAATTTTTTTTCTATGTATCAGTGCATAGTGAATTTTAAAAAAGGTATTGAGCTTTGAGTCCAAATATGGTACAAAAAAGTAATTTTTTGCTACCATGCTTTTATTTTTTTGTTCAATAAAAAGTGACCCTTATAAAGTTTTTAGATTGTATTAAATTAAGTTTACAACTACTAATCAATTTCAGTTTGATACACTTAAAAAAAATTGAGGTACCGTATCCTTATTCTTTGCATGACACTGATCAAGAAATATATTTTTTAAACAATAGCATAGTGTTGTTATATACACTTATAATAAATTTTCAAAGAGCCCTATGTGGAAGACAACACTAACTGACTAGATAAAAGTACTAGCAATCAAGTTTGAGCTCGAAGGTTGACCCAACCAAATAACAGTGCTAGCAAATGAGTAACATCATCCTTATAAATATCCTAGGCTGGCAAACCCTAGATGGTTTGTCATGTAAATGCCAACAATAGTCCACAAACGTTTATTTCAACCATAATAAGTACATCCAAGGTTCATAATCTGTCACCATTACAGCAAGATTGTTCTCTTTTTATATGTTGATGATATGGGTATTATTGGGGATGATTTGATGGCATTGTAGTCTTGAAGGGGTAGTTGCAGCAACAATTTGAGATAAAGGATCTTGATCGCCTTCGATATTTTTAAGGTTTCTCTCATTTCTTAATTAAAGTATGTTATTTATAGGGCTCGATTAACACATTCTCCGACTGTTGAGACTCCTCTTGAGCTTAATGTGGTATCCCCTTGGCTCATCCTACTTTGCATCCAATTCTTGCAGGTAATCTGGTCTATCTTTCGATTACACGGCCTAATATTGCATATGCTGTTCAAGTTGTGAATCAGTTTGTCTCTTCTCTGACTACAGTGCGCTAGGCTGCAAGTCTGCACATTTTGGCAATATTTGAGGCACTTTACATCAAAGTTTGTTGTTTTTTTCCACCTCTTCCTTAGATCTTAGTGCTTTCTCTGATGCAGATTGGACACGTGATGCAAAAGATCGAAGTCCACCACAGGTTTCTATGATTTTCTATAAGAGCAAGAACTAAGAAGCAGACCGTTGACGCACATTCCATTGTTGAGGCCAAATATCGTGTTATGGTTAATGTTGCATCAAATATAATTTAGTTGATATGGTTGCTTGCCAATCTAGGCGTTTCATTTTTTGTTCCTACTCCAATTTATTATGACAACAAGAGTGTCATTCAACCTGCACATGACTATGTTTTCCATGAGCAAACCAACCATATTGGGATTAACTCTCATTTTGTACGGCACCATCTTCAACTTGGGACTCTTTCCTTACCTTTTGCTTCTTCAGCTATGCAATGAGCTGACTTATTTATGAAGTCTCACACTGCACAGCATTTGTGTCATTCTTGACAACCTTTCGATACTTCCTACGTCACTTCATGAATTTGAGGGAGGGTGTTAAGATCGTATTTATATATGTTTGCTATTAGGGGTAGACTAGTCTCTTTCTTAATTGTAGTGTTTACATAAATGGTCTCTTGTTCCCTATTTCATATTATTGCATACAGTGAGCAGCAATGGATTTCTTTTGTCATCCTCTTCTTTAGTTTTGTCTATTTAGCAATTCTAATGAACCAAAATTTGATGTAATATTTCTTCTCATTAAAATGACACTTTTTTTTATGTCATTTTAGCAAAATTTGTCAAAAGTAGAGTTTCAAAGACTAGACATTTCATGTATACAAGCACGATGATATGTGATGAGCCGCATAGTAGTGATATGAACAACCATTAAGAAGGCTCTTGAAAACCTTGTCCAGCACATAATTACCAGAATTCACTAAATCCCTAACGACCTACGATCTGAATACATCGATCCCAAACAAGGTGAGTTCGCAATCCAAATCACGAAAATGTACAATCCCAAATTGTACACGTAGCACAAATATAAAATACATATTAATTAACTACGTGTATATAGATTTATAATTATATATTATTTTAGATAATAAAAATCGAGCACAAATATAAGATGAATGGTAACTGATTTAGTGTTTATGAATATTGTATGATATATAATATTGTATAGTGGTAAAAATGATCCAAATAAGAGTTCCAAAACTAATTGTAACCCAAAATATTATACTAGTTAAACTTATCATCATCGTACCGCATACTTAAGAAAGTGTCATACCACGTATCTATACTCATATCATGTACCAAAAGTGACCCACGATCCTGGTAACATTGGTCCAACACACCATACATTGTTGAAATTTGCAGCTACGGCAAAATTTAGTTTATTTAACAGGACATTAACACAAAAAAAATAAGGCACCATTACTCAGCACTGATAAAAATGAACTAGCTCACTTCCTAAATCAAACAATGGCTGCTTTTTCAATTAAAAAAAAAAAGTGCAACTCCTCACTCTGGAAGCATACTTCCTTCAGTCAGATCTTGTACCCCAGTTCATTAGTCCTCACTGGTACTAATCAAATGCTACATAAATGAATTACAAGCTTAGATAAATAATCACCTATATTCATCAATACCAGAAAAATAGATAAAACTCATAATTCTGTTACATCAAAAGTGTAATGTATGTTTCTTATGCGGGCTGAGAATCACAACTACACTTCCATTTCGTTAGTTTTGATCCATGAACCAATAAATTCAAGAATGGAAAAATGCCAAAGGGATCATTTAGCTCATGGTTCAAGGTATTGGCCGAGACCGAAATGACTTGGTCGAGTCGTATCCGTCTCGGCCATGGCTGATATGATAACAATATCAACAACGAAAAAATCTTGAATCGAACCTAAATCGGTTCCGTCTCGGCCAAAATCGGTACAACTCGGGGCGAGGCACCGATTCGTCACTCATTTGAATTGATTTGTCACCGATTTTAACTGAATCATTCCAACAAAATCGACTACGTGCAAACAAGCTTTCAAAGCACATATCACAAAGAAAAAAATGCCAAAAAACAAGCATGGGAGATGTGATAGAAAATTAACCCTAAATCAGCCCCTTTTCTCCATGATATAAACAGATGAAGAATTAGAACTTAGACACATACCCGTACGACATCCAGACCAAAACCCCTTGTAGTTGTTGTTCTTTCACTTTCTCTTCCTCTTCATCTTTATCGCAGAAGCCCTAGGAGACGGAGTAAGAGTAGCAGTAGCGGCAGGCACTACTACCGAACACTGTAACAACCCTCTAGAGACTAGATCCAGACTCTTTCCCCCTCTCTCTCGCGGTCGCTGGCGTTTCTCGTCGTCGACTAGTGCTAGAGTCTCAGAGACACCGCTCCACGCCTTTCTTTTCTTTTTTTTTTGTTTGGTTTTGTTTTGACATCTTCTTTCCCAACGTAATCCCCCCCTCTCTCTCTCTCTCTCTTAAATAGTCAACGTGTACAAATTAAGACCACCTATTTCTAAATATCTACTAATCTAAGTATTATAACTTAACTTATTAAATTGACAATTTTTTAAATAATATATATTTTTAGAACTATTAATTAAACTATTAATCAAACTTATCTAATCTAACCGAGACCATGTATTTCTAAATATCTCTAATGTAATTATTAAAAATTAACTTATTAAATTGACAATTTTTTTAAATAATATATATTTTTAAAAAATATTAATTAAACTATGTATACACACTTTTATTTTTCTATAATTCTTAAAAATTATAAATTAAGTTTTATTAACATTAGTATGACTTACCCAAAATAAAACATTACTATGATATTCATTTTCACTAGTTTGGGATCTAAATATTTAATAATCTAATTATTAAATGGACAAATATTCCAGTAGCGCCCTTATTATTTCATTTGACAATGATTAATGTTTTTAATAATGCATTTTAGAGATATGATGCATAGATGATGATGTTTATATTTATTACAATTTTTTCATAATTTTTTGAGCTTTTTATTTAGCATTTTGAGTATATCAGCCGATACCACGCCGCGACACCGCGACCGATGTGTCTCAGTGGCCTCCGAGTCAAGGGCCGATACCGCAACCTTGAACCATGCAAGAGAGAGAAGTCTAAGAATACAAGTGTCTTACTTATACATATACATGTGAGTGTATATGTGTCTTGCAATTATATATCTTGTAACTAAAGAAAGAGAAGTGAGGAGCTTGCATAGGAAAAGAGGTGGATGTGTAGGGAATGAGAGAAAAGTAAGAGAAAAAGAGGAGAAGGAGGAGAAGAAAAATGGAGGAAAATTCAAGGAAGTAATATAGGGCTTAGAATTACTCTCAAACAAGGTATGATTCTTGGTTTTAAGTACGGATTCTTTACTTTATGGGAAAGAATTAGGTAATAACAACCAAGAAAGGGGAAGTAAACAAGAAATCATATTCTAGTTAGTTTATTTGTAAGGCTATGAATATTTCACATGATATGAACCATAGAGTAGTTAATAATGGAGTAAACACTTTTCAGGATTCTGAAAATTCTGGACAGCAGGTGTTCTCGGGGTCACTTATATGAGTTATAATTGGTTGATGATTCTTAAACTTTGAGGGTTTGAAATAGATTAGTAAAGGGTGCTTTTGGCTTTGGTTTCATGCAAAAAGGATGAAAACTCAAATTTTGGTGAATTTCTGAAGTTGACCCTGACCTGCTGAAACCTAAAAACTGCAGCTTATGCTCCATTTTACAAGTTGTTTTGAACATGTATTTGATTTCCAAAAGTAGTAATTTTTGGTGAACATGAAGTTCTTTGAGTGTAGTTTTATTTGCCATTGGCCGTGTGAAGTTTCAGCATGTGTAAGTTAGGTTATGAAGCTTTTAAATTGCAAAGGTCTAATCGGGCAGATTATAAAATGTATGCACAAAGGGGAAATTTAAATGGGATTAAAACTAATACATAGGGGGTGTTAACCAAAAGGTTTAAAGGACTGAAATTAATGTTTTTTCTCTTACTTAGAGCGAGAAGGAAGAAGAATAACAATAAGTACTGGAAGAAAATCATTAGGGATCAATAGTAGACCTATTAAGTACTTACAAATAAGTGTTGCTACTGATGTGTTGTGTGATGAAAGTTATGAAATATGTGTAGGACTTGTAAAAGGGAGTCAAGGGTTATAAAGCTTGATTAAGAACTGAGGTGAGTAATCTTATACCTTAGAATGAAATTTTGATGCCTAACTCTTTTTCTAAGGCTTATCTGAGAAATCTTGTATTGATTACACTATTGTGATGTCATGGATTATCAATTGACTTGAAAATTTCTATGTATTACGTGTCAATGCCATAATAGATCCCAGCCCGGGGGACTCAAATCTGATAAAAGACCGAGCCAACGACTCAAATCAGGTATGGATCCGATCCGGTGAAATCAAATCCGAAGAGCTCATGATAAGAATTGCTTGATGACATGTTATATGACTTATTATAACTTTGGCATTATATTCATTTTTTTTTTTTGTTTACTAGTTTTTTTTTTTTTTTGGGGGGGGGAAAGGAAAAGGAGATTTGAACCCTTGACCTCAAGAAGGCAAAGCCTTCACAAGCCAAAGAGTATCATTGGACCAAACGCCCATTGGTGACTTTGGCATTATATTCATAAACTTATCATGAAAATGTTATGATGCCATTTGATATGAGTACTGATACCAACTATTCTACTGTTTAAAGTTAGGGAGTATGGATACCATCTCAGTTATACGCATAAGCTGTTCTTCGTATGATTTATTCATCTGCTCTTTCAACTCGGATATCTCCTGTTTAGAGTACCCTTTCAACTTAACTTCTTCTGTTTGATCATGAAGTTTCATAGCTCCTTCCTGTAAAATCAACACAACTACTATCAAGTTTTTACCTCGGTGACAAGTATCACCATGATAATTCAAAAGGAGAGCACATCGAAAATAGAAACAATGAGAAATATTCTCACCTTCAACTCAGCAAAAAGCTCATCNATGTCATGGATTATCAATTGACTTGAAAATTTCTATGTATTACGTGTCAATGCCATAATAGATCCCAGCCCGGGGGACTCAAATCTGATAAAAGACTGAGCCAACGACTCAAATCAGGTATGGATCCGATCCGGTGAAATCAAATCCGAAGAGCTCATGATAAGAATTGCTTGATGACATGTTATATGACTTATTATAACTTTGGCATTATATTCATTTTTTTTTTTTGTTTACTAGTTTTTTTTTTTTTTTGGAGGGGGGAAAGGAAAAGGAGATTTGAACCCTTGACCTCAAGAAGGCAAAGCCTTCACAAGCCAAAGAGTATCATTGGACCAAACGCCCATTGGTGACTTTGGCATTATATTCATAAACTTATCATGAAAATGTTATGATGCCATTTGATATGAGTACTGATACCAACTATTCTACTGTTTAAAGTTAGGGAGTATGGATACCATCTCAGTTATACGCATAAGCTGTTCTTCGTATGATTTATTCATCTGCTCTTTCAACTCGGATATCTCCTGTTTAGAGTACCCTTTCAACTTAACTTCTTCTGTTTGATCATGAAGTTTCATAGCTCCTTCCTGTAAAATCAACACAACTACTATCAAGTTTTTACCTCGGTGACAAGTATCACCATGATAATTCATAAGGAGAGCACATCGAAATAGAAACAATGAGAAATATTCTCACCTTCAACTCAGCAAAAAGCTCATTCGTATATGGTTGTCCACCATTGTGTGCTATGACCACATTTAGAAGTGAAAGCAGTTGCTGAATTTGTGCTGCTCTCTTGCTTTCGTCCTTTGTTTTGTTATCAAATAGCACTCGCCGATTTCCACAAAGTAGGAGGATTTTCTAAACCAATATCATAGACAATCAATTTAATTCTAGTTTTTCCGCTAAGAAAATTCTGGATAAAAGACATTGACTATAAGCACTACGAACAGGACAATCAAACTAATCAAGACACTATTGACCAAAAAAGCCTAATCAAGAAAGCTAAAGTTTACATGGGATTAAAATGAGAAATAAGCAGAACATCTGATACAAATTAACCATAGAAATTAGAAAATAAATCAGAAGACTCAATGCCACTGATATGTGCTATGCATACTTCTTGAGGAGATTTCTCCCTGATGTCATGTTCAACAAACTTGAGCACAATATTGAAAACATCATATGTTCAAATCAAGCACAAAATGTTCACATTCACCAATGTGGAGGAAAAGTTCAACAACACTCTCCCAGCGCCGGTGCTACAGAAAAAGGAAAGGGTTGGGAGGCTTATTTCTTAGGTTTTGTGAGGTTTAGGACCGCTAGATTAGCAATTTCAAGAGTAATATCCTAGCTCAATTAGGGTTTTCAAAGACTATATTATTTGGAAGTGTGAATACATGTCTCAAGAGGATCCAAGAATTCATAGCTGCATCCAAAGTCAGAGAAAAGGATCTACTGAACCAAGAGGAAAAGATCTCCATAGCCAAGAGAGTTCAAAACTCAAAGGTCCAGTGTCTAGTGTCTAGTGTCTATGTTCATATAGAGTCAAAACTATGGCTAGGCTCAAGACCCAGGATGGCTGCTCTGTTTTGGCCAGATGCGAGAATTCGCAGGAATTGTTACAGACACAATCAGACAACTAACTGGACCAGACAGTTTAAAAATCAAGCCATTTGTGTATGCAATGTCCTTAATCAAACCAATCCTTGGCAATTTTGGAGTCATATAATTCCTACTTCTGATAAAGACAAGCTTAAATGACTGGGAAGTTGTAAAGGGTAAAAAGACTAGAATGTCTTTGGTTTGGGAAACCTTCAAAAACGGACCGTCCGTAACACTTAGAACATGAATCAAATTGTAAANTCTTTGGTTTGGGAAACCTTCAAAAACGGACCGTCCGTAACACTTAGAACATGAATCAAATTGTAAAAAATATTTAATAATCCTATTCACCAACATCCCCCCACCCCTTCCTTTTTTCCCTCTAGGACTAGTACTTTGTCAAGCTTTTGGGGTGGAAGTTTTGTTAGAATATCTGGCTTGAGAGCTTTTAGAAGTATAAGAAAGAAGCACGTGTTTTTCTAAAACTCCTCCATTTCCATTGTTTCTTCTCCCAAGAGGTGAAACAAAGGAGGTGGGATGATAATTGCTCAACACCCAAAAAGAAACCAATAAAATTCTCAATCATAGTATGATACGCTCAAAATATGTGTACGAGTCTTTCTCGAATGAGGAGATGGTACGAGCACTATAAAAGGAAAGACACTCCCTTACTTCAATTTTCTATCTAATCACTCCTAAACAAATGTAGTCTAACAATGAAAATTCAGATCGTACCGAATTCTTTTTACTTCTTTCCTCATTTTTGCTTCCCTCCACATCTCTATTCTACTAGTTACTAGTAGCCCAAATTACTTCAGGAAAACAACTATATGCATTTTATTGTAACAAAACTGAACTAGTTACATTGTATGAAGTATGAACAAACTAGCTTACTGAACTTAGCAATGTTAATATTATGCACAGGTAAGGTAAATAAGTACTTTCTTCTGAACTCTCGGCTTTTTTCCAGCAGCAAAGCCCCAAATAGAAATAGCAGAAACAATATTTATATCCTTTCCTACGCTTATCTCCACATTTTGACAGCTTTTGATTTTCTAAACTCCAAATCCTAGTTCCAACAACCACGCGATCAAATGAGAGTAGTTACTTAAGTAGTATATTTTGACAGGTCAAAAATTACTCCAGAAGCAAACTCTACTAGGATAGCTAGACTCTTCTCAACGGGGAACTTCTATAAGCCAATTGATTTTTTTGCAACTCGTAGGATAGTTCAAACAGTCTGATCAACATTGCATGTGGTCTTCATCTCACACCATCTTTGCCATATCCTCAAAATAAGAGTTGATGCTGACTAAGCTGCTACCCCAATGTAGTTCATGCNGGTCTTCATCTCACACCATCTTTGCCATATCCTCAAAATAAGAGTTGATGCTGACTAAGCTGCTACCCCAATGTAGTTCATGCACAATAAAGTGGACCAAATGGACTATTTTGTTTGTAGTTTGATTTTTCAATTTATTTATTTTCTTTTCTGGTTTTTTTTTTTAAGGGGTAAGGAGAGGAAAGGTTTTCAAGCTCCATCCCGCTCGATTGACGCAACATTTGGAATTGACATTCCATCAGGCAAATTGATTCAAATCGAGGATCAAAATTTTGATTCAAAACAATTGAAACGACAAAAACGTTTTCATTTCTAAGGAGACCAAAATGAATCAGTAATTGAATTAATGTTTCAATGCTTCAAGGTTTATCAGAATGTTTTGAGATTTTTTCACTAATATTTTGTGATGTTTCAAATTGTTTCAAAGTGTTTTGATATATTTCGACCGGTGTTTCAGAATATTTTGAAAATAAATTCTCAAATTTTTTATCCATTTTCATTTTATTTCAGATTCGAAATGTTTTTCGTTTCTTAGATGAGCGAAACAATGCACAAAACAAAATTTTAATCCTCGATTCTAACTGTTGTCAAATAAGGAAAGATATACTTAATGCACTTAGATATGTATTATTAGGCATAGTTGTTAGTATCGTACGATACGCAATACATATCGTACGATACGGAGGTAAAACGATACGGATCGTAGTTATGTATCGTTTTTGCACCGTATCGTCCGATACACGATACGTTTTTACGATACGACCGATACGCGCAAAACCTTTTATTTTTTTTTTCCCTGAAATGACGTCGTTTTGTCTAAATAAGATACTAATTTTTTTTTTTGTATAAAAATCTCTGAATCTTGATTAATTTTATGCATTGAGTTCAAAATGGATGTTAAAAATTTAGATTAAAAGTTTCTTTAGGGTTTGAAGTTTGAATTAGTGAACTATGGTTGTAAACTTTGCATTATAATATTAGCGAACTATGTTGATGACTTGAATAGGTGGTGAAGTATGAATGAAATGCTATATTTTTATGAGTGTATGATTTTTTTTCAAAGGTATATATATTTTTTTATTATTTATTTAAAATTGTACCGTATCTTACGATACACGATACAATACACTATTTTTAAAAAACGATACGCCTTCTGATACACAATTTGATAACTATGCTATTAGGTATAACAAACTAAGTTTTCTGAGCAAAATAAAGGACATAACTATTTTACTCATCAATCAATGCGTACGCATAGGCCAAAACTTTGTTTTAAGTACGAAAAGTCGAAAAATATAATGGTCATCAAGTAAATGCCCAAAGAAGAAGGTGCACGTACGTTGATGCAAAAAATAAGTGTTTTTTCCCTTAAGGTACTCGGTGATAAAGAGATGTTCATATTGAAATAGGCAAGTTTGACGAGGTAGAATGAACCAACATCATGTTTAGAGTCTAGAATCACGACAATTATAAAACTTCATGTGTTTCTACGTAGTTTTTTTGTCTCGTAATTGTGGAAAAGAATCTTGCCAATTGTTAACATTCTTTGGGTTACTCCAAGAAGTTGTGATTAAGTATTTTTTGGAGAACTATGACTCGATAGCTATTAAGCACGGATACCAATATGGATATGGCAATTTGTCAAAATCCAAACAAATAGGATACGTATACACCAGGATATGTTTATAACAAAATATATTTCATATTTTTACTATTATTTACTGACTTAACAATTATGTATTTTGGTAATCCTTTAACATGAGAAGGAAAATTAACAATTTTTTTCTAGTTTTAAAAAGGTATATGTCATATCATTATGGTATATTCATAACTAAAGAGACTAATTAAAGGATTCAAACGTGATATTTACTTAGTTGGTTTGTTTAGATGTATTTATAGCTAAGATTATAATGTAATAAATTCATATTATGCTCTTTTGACATGTCATAATAGATAATACTTAAAAAAATACTCGTGTGTCATCAAAATAGTATGATTTTTTGTTGATGTATACTATAGTATGTGAATTCAAAAGGAGATGTTAAAGATTAAATTTAAAAATTACACACAAAAGTATTCGTGAAGTATCCAAATATTTTATAATTATCGGATATGTAGGAGTATTTGATACATATTCTCAAATAACTAACGAATATCATATCTGATACGGTATCGATAAAGGTAAATCGACCTCAACGAAGTTGTGTTTCATAGCTCAATAGTGATTATTGTTTTTGTTTTGGCTGGGAGACTCTTTGGGAAGAACTTTGGGATAAAATTCTTTTGTTGGCTTCCCATCGAGCTTTGACAGCTAAGGACTTTGAAAGAATGCTACTTTTTTTATTAAAGATCAATTGCTCAAGTTTGTGAAGAGTGTTGACACTTGGCCATTCCTTATTTATCTTTTTCTGTTTGTATGTTTCATTTAGTTTAGTTATATTTTCTTTCTTTTATCTTTTGTACTAGTTAGAGGACTTCGTGTCTTCTCATCTACCCTTTCCTTATTTTTATTTATAACACAATTATGTTTACTATAGAGAAAGAAAAGAGTATCAAAGCATATAACCTTCTTGAAGGTAAAATAGCTTGGTGAACTTTGTGCATTCCAATAACAAGAAGCCAAAGATCTCAAATTAGGCGTCACATTTCAGCGTAGAACCTTAAATAAAGGGAATGACAAACAATAAAAAGTAAAACAAAATATAGTCCAAAACCGAAATTCAAGCAAACACAATCCAATAAATGATTGTAAGAAACTTAAAAGGACGAGTAGCCCTGAGCGTGATCTAACCACTTTATAAAACTTTTAAACTTTCGGAGGGACTTCAGAACATCAGCNAGAAACAATAAAAAGTAAAACAAAATATAGTCCAAAACCGAAATTCAAGCAAACACAATCCAATAAATGATTGTAAGAAGCTTAAAAGGACGAGTAGCCCTGAACGTGACCTAACCACTTTATAAAACTTTTAAACTTTCGGAGGGACTTCAGAACATCAGCACTGAGACCACAAAAAGCATTGAAAATTGAATAAAATAAAACCATTCATAACATTAGACTTCACGCCATTGTGCAATAATTTCAGAGGTGGACAGTAAGAAAGCTCAAGGAATATAAGATCAAGGGTGCATCTATACCTTCATGTCTCTCTAAACAGCAATAGTTGCATTATTACATATATGCTTTTTCAAGTTAATTTACACGTTGAACTCTTAAGAATTTGAACCCCAAAAACTTTGCAACTCTCTAAAACTAAAAAAAACCAATTCTCTAAAACTGAAAATATAAAGGCAATTAAGTCAAAAGGTGCAAACTCGTAAGCAGCCATAAATCAGAGATTTAGGAAAGCAACAAGATTTATGAGCACACTTTACCTTTAGAGGCTCAGGACAGTCACGACCCAAGTNAGAGATTTAGGAAAGCAACAAGATTTATGAGCACACTTTACCTTTAGAGGCTCAGGACAGTCACGACCCAAGTAATCTTCCAGAGTCTCGTCATTTTCTTCAAGTTCATCCCCACCGGTAAACACTACAATCATGTAATCATTAACTTTGCTTCCAAAGAAGGTCTGCAAGCTATGAACAGCAGCTTCTTCTTCTAGCGTAAAGCGGTTCCTGACTGAAAGAACTACAAGAACTCCATGGATACCATCCTTGGCCATATTGATGCACTTAACAATTTCTTTGCCAATAAATTCAGGTTCAACAGAAGCATCAAACAATCCTGCCATTATCATAGTTCAGCATTATTGAATCATATTATAAATCAACAAAACAATTATCGAATAAGGACCAATTACTTAAAATTGCATACTTTCCTCTAAATTTCAATTTCTTTTTTACTTTTAATTTTATGAATTTGTTTTGTCCCTCTTGTTCGTGTTCCCACAATTTGCAAGCATATTACATCCCTATTTTTTCTTTTCTAAAGATCTCACTACAACAAAAATCACAAACTCCATTGAGAATGCACATCCAATATATTCATACCAGGAGTGTCAATCACATTGAGAATCTGGCCATCTCCCAATACAGTCCTCTGCATTTCACAAGTACTAGTAACACCAGTTGAGGAAGACCTTGACTTGAATGCCCTTCTCCGAAGGATACTATTGCCCGTCGCACTTTTGCCATTACCCGTACGTCCAATCAAAACCACAGTTCTAACCCCATTCGACGGTAATGTAAACTCCCAATCATCATCGATCAAGCTTCCACCCATCCTATAAAATCAAAGTTTCTATAAGAAAGATAAATTCCAATACATGTTTAACAATACACTCGCAACATACAATATTGATGTTATTATCTAGAGCGATTCATAACAATCGAAATTTAGTACATAAAATCTTTGTCTTTCACTTGGAGTCAGTACATGCTACGAAGCAAGAGCACTCTTAAGAATGTGACATATCCGTGTCGGACACTGACACTCCTCGGTCACTCTCGGATACATGTCCGATTCTGTTTTGTCCATATTAAATGATAAAATTTTAATTTCGATCACGTGTCCGACACTTCTTTGATGACATGTCCGACACTTCTTTAAACTGTGTCTACAACTAACAATAAACATGTATTAGCATGTGACTAACAAAACTTAAAAATTTGACTAATGAATATTTTATACTATGAGAGAACATATAATTACCAACACTATATATGTTAAATTGTACTCAAAAAATAATAATAAAAACAACAGATGCATAAAAGTTTTAGACAAGAGGAATTAAGAAAATGAAGCAATCATTAACTTATATATGTTGGGCACATGTTGTCTACAAAAACAATTTACAATTCTTCGATTATTATATGATGCTTCAGTCTTAAAATTCACACTAGATAATTAGACATAACATTTATTTATCATAGAGTACTAAGTTTTTTATGAATAGTATATCATTATCACTATATTTGTGACAAATCATAAAATTTTATACATAACATATAATTATCTGTAGCATGTCCCCGTAGCATGTCCTCAATGGTTTTGTGTCCCAATATTTTTAAAATGTCATGTTTGCGTGTACATATCCTTATCCGTGCTTCTTAGAATTCATATAAACAATTTAGGATTTGGAACATAAGAGCTTACATAGTTTTAAAAGCCTCTTTGGCAGGACAGAACAGAATCAAAGGTACACTACTAAGATGTACATTTTTAATGTTGAGACAAATGCCAAAATGGGTCATTAAAAAAAATTGTCACACTGTTTGGTCTTTGTCAAACAAGGGAGCTAGGATAGAGGAATTGTGTATGGAGCACAAACTTAACCTTAGAAATTATTTGTACAAAGTAACTGCCATCATACACAACCTCACAGTTACAAAGTTCTGTTGTTACCCATACACATTTACGAACCTTTAAGTGAAAAAATTCTTCTGCTCTTTGTTACTTATTCACAAAAAGATATACAATGGTATGTAACCATACATAAAGCTAAACAAGCTTATTCATACTAGTGGCAATTCACTTCTGCCTTTGATATATGGATAGCAGTGACAGAATATCGATTGACTTTTTTGGCCTAACTTCTCTAACATGCTCCTTGAGTTCCCTATTCAGCATTTTGTGCTTCCCATGTGTTTGCAATTTGTTGTTATTACCCACTATTTCACCTTTTTCTTCCTGTAAATATGCATTTTAGCAATTATTTTTAAGAAAATCAAAAACATCTCCGTATTTCTGTTTTAATTTGAAACTACAGAATTTCTAAGAGTGCAACAAACTTACAACCAAACCTACAATATAGAATTTATAAATAAAAAAAAAGCGTTTGATGCGTATCGGTAGCTCTTTTCTTTTTGCTTTTTCTGGTCTTAGGAATTTTTTTTAAGAAAATAAACTCGGATTAATGGAAAATTACTGAAACAAAAGGCTCGCATCCAAAGAGACCGTACGGTTACAGCACAATCAAATCGATATACCTGAATCATTATGACCCTGATTACTTGCAATTTCGGAATTATTATTTACCAAGTCAAGAAGAAAGATTATATCAACGATGGTTAATCATATCAAAAAGATTATATCAAAGATGGTTAACTGACCTGAGCCTGACTGAGATAATCTCTTTGCAATTTTGTGCTGCAGTTCAAAGTAAAGAAGATGACGAATGGGGAGGAGGAAAGTCACCAGCATAAGCCAAAAGGTAAAGCGAGAGACGTACGTTTGGCATGGTCCGTGTATACTACAATATCTGTGAAAACTGTACACGAAGAAATTTATCCATATCTCCTGCCAACCAATTTGAAGTTTGTTAGCTTAAAATAAAAAGACGTGGATTAATTATTTTTCAGATTTTTCAGATTTAGGTTCCGTAACATTGTTCTTCTATATTTACCTGCCTCTTTGACTAGTAATTTGGAAAATGCACATAATTGAAATGAAACTCAAAAATTAAAACTCAAATATATATCACCCTTTAGATGAGTGGGTTTCACTGAATAAATTAATAGAACTTACTCATTTAAAAGATGATATAATTGGATTATAATTTTTTGGATTTTATTTGAGTTTTATAATACTGCTCTAGCTATTTTATATTTGAAGAGTCAAATAATTCTTTGACTCTTTGTAAAAATGGCTCTTTAAAATAAAAAATATAATATTTTAATATATTTTGAATAATTTATTTTAAAGAGTATTCTTAGAGATGCTCTTACAACTTAACACTAATCACTTATTATCATCTATAACTTTTTCATCTTTGTTATTAACTAGAGATAACTCGTGTCTTCAACTACGATGCGATGTGAATAATTTTGAGATAAATATTGGTATCCATTAAATGAATTTATTTGAAAACGTCAGATACACTTATTAAAATCTGTCATATTTTATATCATAAATCTTATCACAACCTTTATATTTGTCTCTCCTTCCATATCTAGTCATTGCCCACAAACAAAAAAATCTTAAATAATTGCTCAAATTCAAAAATAATGATTTAAAAATATTCATACTAATTCTTCTTTTAAAATAACTCGAATATTGTCGACTATATCTTCCATATTAATGGAACTGTTATAAAAATATATAAAAACTTCTCAAATCAACATCATATATACAAATGCCTTTGAGAAAAACAAACAAACACTAATATAACCTATTGAAATTTACAATCGTTAAGTAATAAATAAAATATTGCTCATTTATAAGACTTACGAATTTATCATCTCTACTACTAATCAATCCAATAACACAACATAATTATAAATTCAACCACAATATTTCTAATCTACCCTACCCCATGTAATAAATATCTCAAGCAAAAAATAATACTAATAATAACATAACACAATTAAATTCACAATATTTAAGCCATAAATAAAATCAACTAAATCTTACTCATTTATAAAACTCATAAATTTATCACCACTACCTCATTCAATCTCAAATGACGCAATATAATTATAAATTTAATCACCAAATGTCAAATATACATGAAAACACACTCACGCACATTTCTTTTTTAGTTACCAGCAGACCATCCTAACTAATAATTTATTTTATTAGAAATACAATAATTTAAGTTTTTAAGATAAAATAATAATAAATTAATGTTTAATTAAAAACACAAGATAAAAGTCATGGGCAATTGGACATTCCCTAAGTTTTTGCAATATTATACGGACACCACTTGACATGTTATAAATAATACGAAAACCCCCTAAGGTTTGAAATTCATTGCACGAAGGCTCCTTTTTGTCTCCCTTCCTTCAATGTTGCTAACGAAAATTGATAATTTCATCTCAAAAATATTTATTATTTTTACAATTGCCCTTCTCCAAATTTAGTACCAAAAAAAATTAAAAATTTGATTTAGTACCCAAAAAATTGATATAATTTAGTACTCAAAAAATTGATTAAATGAATTTCAATATTAATTTGATAACAATAAAATTTAATTTTATATTAATTCAACAAAGTTGAATATAAATTGGACAAAATTAAATGTCAATTTTTGATACAATTATATATTAATTTACAATTAAGGTTCATTTCGTAATAGATATTATTTGGTGTTTATAATCAATGTGCTATTTTTTATTTACAATAAGTGTTATTTACAAATTAAGAAGTAAGTGACAAAATACATGTTGTTAGATATATAAAAATTTTGAGTTAGTTTCATGGAGTAAATAATTGCATAATATGTAGTTTTTATTTGTTTTATAGAGTAAATAATAACGAAAACAACACATAAGGAAAAAAAAAAAGATAATAGCATGTGAGAGAGTATTAGATAGATAGATAGAAAGAGAGAGTTATATGAGAGATAAAGAGTCTTAGAGTTATCAAAAGAGTGAAAGTCCAATTAGGACCATCAAATCAAAACAATCTGAGCCGCAAAAAATTCAAGACAAACAATTTAACTACTTTATTATATGAAATAAATAATGCAAAGACCCCCTAAGATTTGAAATTCATTGCATGAAAACCCCCTCTGTCTCCCTTTCGTCAATGTTGCTAACATAAAAAATAAAAAATAAAGAAATTCATCAAACCCCTTAGTGGAATGGCTTGCCATGAACCCTACTTGTTTATAGACCGTAGTATTGATCTCAAGAATATGACATATAAAAATAAAATTTAAATTTAAAGGACATATGATGATATCCCAATCAACACTCTAGACTCTGCAATGAACTCCTCACGCCTTTACAGTTTTTCCTAAAAAGTCATTAAAACCATTAGTAAAAAGCAAAGATGCGATCAATATTTATGAGCACAACAAGTGATAAAAGAAACTTTATTTATTTAAGAACAATCTTAACCACCCATCAGATACTTACTTTCAAATTACACTTCACCTCATATACATTCGTTTACATCACATAAACATAACCTGTATATACCACATTGATAAAATATATAGCATATATATTTACTTTCACATAATTAAATTATTTCACACAATGAATACCCTCACACGCACACAAACTAATTGCCCTATAAACAACAACCGCCGCACAGGCTATATTTAGTTGCGCAGATTCTTGCGCCACATGGGCAACATGTATCGCAAGTTTGTATAACCACATAGATGTCACTCGTCACTGGGACAACTCAAACCACATTAATGATTTATGTCCTTCAGACGACCTACATCACACAGAGAGTTTTTAATCATGTCAACTCCACCACATAATCAAATCATGATGTCAACTCCACCACATAATCAAATCATGTCATGTAGATGACTCAAGCCATATAAA